GCCCCTTTTTGGGACAGTACCACATGGCCTCCATTGTATAGGGAGGCCGAGGGATGGAGTGGCTGGCTGTCCTTCTAGAATACAATCTTCAGAGCCTTGGCTACCTTATGCAACTTTGGATTCTCATCTTGTATACAATAGGCCAAAAGCAGGTACCATGTGGTTCATACATTCAGATTTTATATTCCTCAAGTGAACTATTCAGAAAAAGGAAATTTAGTACCACTCAACTTCCTACATACTTTTAGTGAAATGCTTTACTGGTGAAATAAGTTATTTTCTTCATTAAGATAAAAATGTTATGGAAAAATATGCAAGCTATTACATACAGTAAATACCCATACAGATATCCTTAACTAAACCCCAACTTAAAACTTTACTTTCAATTAAAACTGATTAATTATACTTTGGTTGATTATATTTCCTTTAAAAAAAATTCCCCTGTAACTCATAACCTTGAGACAAAAAAGCAATTGGAAAGGTTTTGCTTTTTTTTTTTTACTTCTAAAGGAAGTGCCAAGTTTCCTAATTTTATATAAACTTCCTCATTCCACCCCCCACCCCCCACCCGTCCGCCCCAAATTTACTGCAGTACACACTGTACTATCGGTGTACAAAGAAAAATGAGCAAGTTGTGTCTTTGAAAAAACAGGGACAGGTTCTGTTGTCTCTGTCTGCGTGCATGACATGTGCTTTCATGATTTAGTTTTTAATGCTGTACACATGAAAACTATTGAATTTTTTAAAATCAGCCATTAGCCATTGATTACAAGAGCGTCTGACTCTCAGTTATGTGGCATCAGGAAGTAAATGACTTTTTCTTCATACAGGACTAAAACATAACAATAGTGATGGTGCGAAGAAAAAAGAACCTGATTTTGTTTCTTAGGCAGTCGTTATCAATATTTCTGGTTCAAATTGATAAACAGGCTGCTTTACAACAACTCAGTACATAATACTGTATTTGGATTAGCCAAATGCATGGCTTATTATGGGATGGAGCAGAAGACTGCATTTTCCTCCAAGACTTCTTTGGTTTCTGCACTGACTTCTGACTATCATTTTACACTTGCTCTGCTGATGAATTTCAGATTCTAATAAACAAGAGATAAGATTGAATTCTGCACATTCTTTAAGTCAGCAGTTGTTAGAAGTCACATTAGTGAATTATGAGAGATTCAAGAAGTCACTTTGGTGAATTATGAGAGATTAAATTAATGTGCAGCGAGAAAGGCAAGGGAAGGCTCAGTCTGGTGTTTTGCAGTGGGCTGATCAAGGGCTTAAAATAAAGGGGAAAATGACAAAATATTTCTTGATTTTGCTGCTGTTGTTTTTATCAGTTTCCCTTTAAACAGGGAACAAAAAACCACCAAACACTCCCATTTGGGGAATGTGAGATGATAACCCTTCTGTGGAGAAACAATGATCACAAAATGAAACAAACCGCAGTATCAACTGTAGCTGAGCAGTTATAAATAATCTCATATTTCTCACATTGCTGATATTGTGAGAACACAAACTATCAGAGCAAAAATCCACAAAATCCTCAAATGGATCTTTTCTTGGCAACAGAAAGCACTCAGAAGTCTGGATCAATAACACATTCTCACTATAATTACAGGGCTATTTCTTATCCTTATGTAACAGTAACTCAACATACATTCAGTAGGCAAAAGATAAAAAGAATATCAAGGGGATTGAAAATCCTTTATATGGTATTTTTAAAAATATACAAATAACTGTATTTTTTCTATGATTGGGGAGCTAAAGTTTGCTCTGTTCCATGCAATAATTAGAATTTTAGTTTGAGTGTATGCTTATATGCGCAATACATGATGTGCCAAAGCAATCTTATGATATTATTTTGTATATATTTTTTAAAATTCAGTGAATTACTTAAGGCAATAAAATAGATTATGATGCACGTCACTTAATTTCTTATCAGGCTGATATCATACAGTAAATAAGTGGTCTAGTATCTAGATTTGAAGTTCTTAAATTTTAAGATCCAGGCCAATTGGCCCACCTGTTACCTTCCTGTTTTGCTTTTAAATTAATTCCAGCAGGCAAGATGGCCATTGTTAACAGTTGGTACACTATTAGGATATCTTCTAACATTTATTGTATTAGACAGGAAGCAAGTTTGATTTGCATCCATTATGATGATTGTTATATTGTGTAATAAAGACATTACTTTTGTATATATAATAACAATCTTCTGCAGGTGCACCAATATATCTCCATAAAGCATAATTCACTTCCTAAATGTGAAAAGGGATTTAGAGATACCCTTAACTTTCTTTTATTTAATAAACATAGTTTTCAAATGTTTGGAATCTTCATAATCTTACATAATAAATCGGATTTCTTTAGAAATAAATATGGTCAAAAGAGACACATTTTTTCTGATTTATGCATAATGGTAAATACATGATTTAAAAGATTCCAGTGAACTATAACTTGCTGACAGTTTGTTTTAGCTTTTTTGTTTATTTGGTTCTTCAAATTATAAGCAGGTCCCCATTTTTAGAAACGTTGCAAGAATTAACACTCATTTCCTTTAATTACTTCATTGCTGGATCAGCCACTTTGGCATTCTTTATCCCCTCCTTGTTATCTCACTTCCAAAGAGGCCTTCCTTGTCTTGATTTATAGATTTTCTTTGGAATCTCCTTTTAAATTACCTAATTATCTCAAACCACTTTCTTGTTTTTCAAAATATTGTTGTCTTCATTCTCTACTTATCCTTTTTTCATCTCCGTAGTCTTTTGTCCCCTATTTACATGTCGGGGCTTTTTTCCAGTCCTCAAAATGCCCGAGGCTTGATACTCTGAAACACTAAAATCCTCTTTATCATAACTCAGTATTTATAGTACTATGAACTGCAATACTGTGGCTCACAAGACTAAACATTTCTGGGACAGATCAGTAGAGAGCACTTTAAAAGGGGATATTTAACAAGTGATTGCAATGCATCCAATTATATTTGGCCATTTGGTCTATGCCTTTTTAATTTTATAAACATCCACTTGAACAAGTGCATGAGCAGACACACCTGCATAGTTAGGTACAGGTAGTCCTCAACATAAAAGAGTCCATATAGTGACTGTTCAAAGTTACAATGGCACTGAAAAAAATGACTTATGACCGTTTTTCAGTTATGACATTTCCAGGATCCCCATGATCATTTGATCAAAATTCAGACACTTGGCAATTGGTTCATATTTATAACTATTGCTATGTCCCAAAATCAGGTGATCACTTTTTGTGACCTCTTGACAAGCAAAGCCATGGGGAAGCCAGATTCACTTAACCAGGTTACTAACTTATCTACTGCAGTGATCCACTTAACAACTGTGATAAGAAAGGTCGTAAAATGGGACAAAATTCACTTAACAGATATCTCACTTAACAACAGAAATGTTGGACTCAATTGTAGTTGTAAGTTAAGGACTGTATTTTCTCATAGATACAGGACAATATAAAGAATGTACTTCATTCATAATTAGTGGAGCTGACCAGAGCCGCTATTATTCACTTAATTCAAGAAAATAATGCAGGAGAAATATGGCATCAGTTGGGACAAGCAAAATATTCCCCTCCCTAAAATACCCTTTAAGGTGATTGAACCATTAATGAGAAAATTGTATGTACAATGAAAAGATTTTACAATGGAAGAACGAAGTTGGCTGAGATGGCAAAATTAAGTGTTTTCATTAGAGAAAAGACATTGTTGACTGGAAACCCCTCTTGGTCTTTTTATGTGAAACAGAAATGAAAGTTATGTTGTAAACCTAGGAGTATGAGGTTAATATAAATTTATATTTATATCTGTTGCGAAAGAAAACAGGAAGTCATTTTTTTATTTCTGCAATTTTGGCATTGTTCTTTCACCCTACTTTAAAGTTGAGTTTAGTCTAAATACACCCTACTATTTTTAGGAGGTTTTCTTAGTTTTTATCTCTACTAAAATGTAATAAAGGTATCTTTAAAAATAATCTTTAAGGATTTAAAGCACTATGAAAATTATGAAGTGTTATTGAAGGAAAGTTAATAGTCAAATTATTTTTTCAGTGACCCTTCATAAATTTTACAATTTCAAGAAATCAGTCCGTGTGCTCGATGTTATATTTTCAGGGAGAATAAAAATAACTGTTTTCATAAACAGATGATGAAATACAATATATTTAAAAGGGTTTTAAACCGGATGGTGTAATGGATTGCTGCACTGAGCAGGAAGTTGAACTGGTTGGTCCAATTTATACACAGTATTCAACCCATACACACCTCCAACCTATATGCAGTATTCCATTTTTGGCTTCATTTAATTCAAAAATCTTGTATTTATAAATAAATAATACAATTTTTTCAAGAGGACTGCTATTTAAAAGTGAATATTGGAAATGGAAAAAAAATATCCTTTCAAATTCTACTATTGCCTCTAGAAGATAAATTCACTTATGTGATTCTTTGGATATTTCAGTGCTGTTTTTGCTCAGTTACCTAATCTGCAAATTTATTTATATCACCTTCTCTAAATATACCTTGTATACTTACAACAGATAGCAGGTTGAATATGAGCAAAAACTGTACTATTCAAACAAGGCACAGTGCCGTCAGGTTTTTCTACGTGCACTATTGAAGAATTTTATCTTCCCAACTGGATTGTCTGATATTCTTTATACTTTACACAAACATGATGTTCTAAACCAGTATTGTTTAAGACATAATGTTTTCTGGAAACTTACCTGATAAATATTTTTTTCCTCCACAAAGTTTGAGTTTCTTCAGTTCCTTCTAAGCTAAGCCAAACTAACTGGAATAATTTTATTTAGAATGCAAAAATGTAATGAGAAGATAACTGTATTGTTTTTAATAGTTTTTAATAATAATATATTAGCAATGTCAGTATTTTTTTTTAAATATGAACATCAACAATCCTAGTAATGTAGATTTATTGAATACAAGGCAACCAAAATTATAAATAAATACAAATATAATATTTTATTTAGTTTTAATAATTAAATTTAATGTGTGCATTGATATTACCATTGTAACTTGCTGAGTTAGTTTATTTTTATACTATTTTTCTTGAAAAATTGCTTTATCTTGGTCTCCACTTAATATCTTTGACACCATGAAAATGTCTTTTCAAGGCATGAGTATCAGCCCATTCAGAATCTAAACATGTATCATCATCATCATTTTCTTCTAATTTCTGAAAAACATGAAAAGAAAATGAATGATTTATTGCAAGTAAAACGTAAATATCTTGTTTTCAATAGAGTAACACAGCAACGACACCTGATACCTTGAGTTCTTCTTGTCTTCTGTGATAAAAAAGTATCATCTGTTTATGTTCTTCACCACTTATGACAGGTTCACGTGCTGGAGGTCCTTGCCCTTTCTGGAAACATAACAGAAGTTAATATATTTCAACCTGCCTTAATCTGACAATGGAATGCCTATTGTTATGATGAATAAAATGTCAGGAGAGGCAGACTTTAGACCCCCCAGGGCAGGAACAGGCAATATACAAGTCCAGATCTTGAATTGTACTGTCATTATGGTGAACGATGAAGAATTTTAGAGGCTGTAATTCAGCCACACATGGAATGAATCGGGTTCTCTACTGCTACTCTACAAAGGCAAGTTTCTCTGTACTGTGAGACACTCAGTAGCTAAATTTGGCTACCTTCAAACTGGAACAAAGGGACAGCTTGCCATAATGCTTTTAGTGCAGAGGTATGATTATCCTTTTTATAGCAGTGAATGAAGTCTACCTTCCTTTTGAACATCGTGCTTACCTGTATGAAGTTAAAATATATGTAAAATATAATAAAATCTGAAACATAATAAATCTGGCAAAATATTGCTTTGGATGAATGTAAACCTATATAAAAACTCACTTTGCTCTTAAGTCACAAATACTTACTTTTTGTATTTTGATAATAATTTTTGTTTTCTCATTTTTGCCAACATAGTCAGAAAGCTGGTTTGTTCTTTTCAGTTCCTTTGCTGCCCACCACAGCTGGGCCTCTGGTTCTTCAATAACCTCGAGAGCAGCCTGTAACAAACTGAGCTTTACAATAGGCAGAATCCAAGGGCAGAAGCAGAAGCAGAAGTCTATTCACAATAGATGTCCTTCCTTCTCTTCCTTGTACTACTCTTCCTAGCCTTTAAATCTGCTCTGAAAGGTTAAAAGATTCCCTAGAACAGTGTTCTCCAACCTTGGCAACTTTAAGACTTGTGGACTTCAACTCCCAGAGTTCCTCAGCCAGCAAAGCTAGAACATTGTTGAAATCTATATAAAAGATCTCAAAAAGAGAATTGCTCATCTACCATGCAGTTACTACAAATCACCTGTAACTAAAACTGAGTTTATTAACACACAAACACACACAGATCAAAACTTATAAAGTTTCTTTTTGCAGAATGCTGGTAGCAACAGTGAAGTGATTTTGTCTTATCAGTTAATTAACTCTTAGTGAAGGAAATATAAGGACTTAAAAATGCCTGGATTTAACAGTGATGAGGGGTGGCAATATCATTTTTTTCAATAAAATCTCCAGGTTAATCTTTGATTTCCAAGTTTGATACATAACACTTTTTTTTTTCAACAGTTACAGTTAACAAGCGGAAGTTTACTTTTTACAGAATTTACTTTTTTGCAATGATGAAATATCTAGGGCAGCGATGGCGAACCTTTTTTTGGCTCATGTGCCATAAGGGGGGAGCACAGAGAGGACATGCGTGAGCATGTCGCACCCATAATGCAATGGCAACCCCGCCAGTGCGCATGGACACATGAGAGACGCTCCCCCCATTTTTCCATGCTTTTTTTGCCCTCCCCAGGCTCCAGAGGCTTCATAGGCAAAAACAGCCTCCCCTGCCCCTCCCCAGAGGCCCTCCGGAGGCTTCAGGGACCTTCAGAAGGCTTCCCTGAAGCCTCCGAAAGGCAAAAATTGACCGTACTAGCAAACCGGAAGTCACGTCCAGTTTGCTTGGAGGGTCGGTTTATGACTTTTTTTAGTGTGAAGATATAGCACTATGTAAAAATGGTGTATAATGTACAACAGTACAGAAACTAAATAAACTCATAGATAATGAATAAATTACATTTTCAAAACATCTCTCTGGAAGAACAATATTTTTTAAAAATAAAAATCATAAAATCAAAACTAACACTTACTTGAGTTCCTGACAGATCTTCTTTATTTTCAAATTCCATTCTAATTGGGTCATATGGAGGGAGCCCCATTGGATAAACAATCATTACAGCTCCTCGGAGCTGGTCGAGGGCATCTTTCACCATACTGGTAGTAACACATACATTGGCTTCCACTTGTTTCTGCAATACACAGCGAAGCAACTTAAACAAAAAAGAGGGATCTTGGGGTCCTAGTGGACAATTACTTAAATATGAGCCAGCATGTGCTGCAGCTGCCAAAAAAGTACACAGTTCACAGAGGGATAGAATCAAGATCACGTGAAGTGTTAATACCACTTTATAATGCCTTGGTAAGGCCACACTTGGAATACTGCATCTAGTTTTGGTCACTACAATGTAACAAAGATGCTGAGACTCTAGAAAGATGATTAGGGGACTAGAGGCTAAAACATATAAAGAACGGGAATTGAGGTAGGGCTGACATGATAGCAGTGGTCCAATATCTCAGAG